CATTATAACCTATAGAGTTTGCTTAGGAAAGGTGCATAAGACAATGGCAGATTTCCAAGCACAGTAGAAAATGGTGCTGATAATATCCGAGGGAGTACTTTCCTCTTCAGGATCTGTACTGAAGCAAAGCTTCATCATGGTGCTATTATAAACAGAGATGCTGCATTGTTGCCTTTTCAGAAATGTGTAAAACCCTGGCATAGCTGCTGATCACTAAAGACCCCAACAAGCCTTTTGCTAGAGCAGGAATTAGTTTAGGAATCCTGACTGAATCCCAGCTCAGGTAATTACATGCTGCCTCTCAGGAATTTTAATTGGGCATTTATTCTCCTTGACTTCCTGTCTTAAAAAGCAGCTTTTCAGGGAGAAGCTGTATTTTGATGGCAGAGCTGACAATCCCTGTATGCTCAGTTTCAGGACTAATAGTGCTTTATTAATGCATGATGTTGTTAGCTGCTTCTGGAGAAGGAAACTCTGAACAACCCAATGAAATTCCTCCTGAAAAGGCTCTTCGTGCCTCACAGTGCATCACCTAATCCCTTTCAGGCTACATGTTAACTTCTTTGCATTAGATTTTTCCTCAAAAAAATCTCTGACATTTTCAGCAAATTAATGACAGGATAATTAAACTCAGAAAGCTGGTATCAGAATGGTAAACATGTGCTTTCCTGGTGCTTGTTTAGAGACCCAGCTACCTTAAAATAAAAGAGTGCACTCCCTCCTACTGAAAGCAAGTCTGATGCAGTAAGTCATTTAGTAGGTCTTTTATCTCTTGAGCTTCAAGTCTCCGGGTTCCCATGCCTGATTCTGAGCTCCAAGTGGGGTTTTGGTCCTAGAAGTGCTGCACAATCAGATGTGCCGATGAACAGCAAGCGGTCTGATGGAAATATGAAAGTGTTCCAGAAAAGAAAACACCGTGCTTTTTAATAAACCAAACATAATCCTCCTGCTTTGATTAGGGCCCTGGGATGGAAGCTCTTAAGGTGGCAACAGGTCTTCAATTTGTTCACTGTTATTAGACAGAGTAGTGTGGCATCGGGGTGGGGGGGAAGAAGCAAACAGCTCTGTGATCAGAGAATCACAACCTGCTTGCCCCCCTGAATGAGTAGGGCTAGAAAGGCCCAGTTATCAGTCTTCTCTTACCAAAGCCTCCTGGGAGTGAGGAGGTCTGAAGCACATTTATACTGTAATGCTAGCTGCTGTCTTACATCTCAGTGCTCAGGAAGACAACACCAGGAGGAAGAGAACCTGGGGGAGAAAACAGGTGGTATATGTAAGTAAATGCTTTAATGCTTGAGAAAGCCTATTGATTTTCTGTTGAAGAATAATTCCAGGAGCTGGACAACATGTACTTACTGTGTCTGTGGAACAAACATCCTAGGGTTTAAGAAACCATCCCTTACCTTCTTGGCCTATCCCAACAGTGGCACTCAGGGTATCCCACTGCCCTCAGTAGCAATCATGCCATTCTTCTGAATGAGATCTTGGAGTGTACTCCCCTTCTCCACAAGTGACTAATGTTCAAAGGCCTCACTCTACACTTCTAGGATAGTAGGATCTTGCTTTTATCATGCCCATCCTCTTCATAAAGGAAGATCGAAGGCAATGATTCTCAACCAGGGTGCCATAGCATCCTGGGGTACCTTGAGACTCTTTCAAGGGTGCCAGGGGGTGCTAAGCCATTTCAGCACTGTTAGGTGGGCAGACATGGCTCACAAGCTAGATAAACCCAGAGATTTCAAGTAGGAATCCATAATGTTACAAAAACATTCTGAGCTCTTGTGGTCTTTCTGAGTTCCTGGCAACAGAATAAATCCTTTATTATTTTGCCTTAGTCAAAAAATGAAAACTAAAAACTGGCATTTTTCAAGGGGTGACTCAAGTCTAAAAAGTTTGAGAACCACTTATGTAAGGCCTGATTTTCTAATCGCCTTGCACCTTGGCAATCCTTTACCCAAAATGGTTTAATATGCCCAGTGGGCTTGGGCTTTAGACTCTCTTTGCATGGGACAATACAAAGTGCAAGACCAAAGAATCAAGCCTCATTTATCTGGGCCTGTGTGTACTCTTGCTGAGTACAGCACTGCTGCTGAAGTTGCTGAGGCAGTCACTGTACTGTCAGGCTTTAACTCACTACTGAAAAGCCCTGGAGAATAAAAGGTGTAATATAAAACCAAATTTTCTCTATACAGAAGGAACTGATCAAGTAAGCATTTCATGAGGTTATCTTTATTTTCTGCAAAGCCTCTGAATTTGATCTGGGCTGAAGACAGATGCCAAATAGCGTCAAAATTCTCTGCTGAGACCCCTGGTGCAGATTTATTTTAAGAGCAGCAGCAATAATCCAGAGCAGCTCTCAGCCACTTCTCTCAGACTCTAGCACTGGAAAGCTAATGCTGCACAAGCAAGATTAGTCTGGGCCTGCTATTTTCTCACTTAAGTTTGAAGTGGCTCCTACTTCCAGCTACTCGTGATGTTTCATTGGCTGACAGCTTCCTCTCCTGAATACTATGAGAAAATATTGCCCTTAGGCAGTTGCCCACTATTTCCTGCATGTCATAGACTGAGAAACAGAATGGATATATCTCAGAATGGATAGAAAGGGAGATCAAATTCTCTCTCTCAAGATGAACAAGATCTTTTCTAAGAGGTTTTTCTCTTCCTAGGGGACAATAGTAGCACTTGTTCTTGCTTTCTGTACTCCTGAGGAACCTTAAGCCTAATTTCCTCTTTTCCATTGCACTGCTCAGTGCTCACCAGGCTGCATCCATGGGGAAAAATAACCCATCTACTGAGGAGACTTATATGAGCATAACAGCCACATTTGGTCTTCCAGAAGATTGAGGGAGGAACAAAGAAAGACAGTACCAGAGAGAATGAACAAGGTCAGCAACAGGAATCAGCCACTTCATAAACTCTTTGATACTATGAAAGTCACACTGTGAGCTCACAACAGTCAAACAAGATTTAATGAGTCAATACCTGCTGTTCTACTTGTTCTACATTGCCACCACACACACTTCATCATGCAGAAAAGGCAAGGAGTTCATCACGTTATTGTAAGGCACACAGGGATTCAGGACCAGAAGAAGGTTCAGATGCCAAGGTGTCCAAGGAATTATACAAAGCATTTGCATCTGTCTGGGTTGCTTTGGCCAATGCGAAAAATGCAGTAAAACAACTGTGGCACTTTTCCCTGTAGGTGGAGTGTCATTATGAAAAAGATCACCCTCTGTGTCACCAGAACCTGCTGATTTGTCTCTTCTGAGCCCCACTGTCAGTTGCAGGTAGCATGGAACGTGGAGACTGGTGGGCTGCTGCAGGTAATCCTTTCTTCTGCAGTTGTAATAGGCAGTGAAATAACACCATAAACATACTCAGCTTCACTATCAGGGGATGCAGGACTCACAGGAGGTCACTATCAGGGGATGCAGACCTGAGGTCACAGGTATCTCAGCTTGTCCATGTGGGAAAGCTGGAGTGCAGTAAATTAGGGTGCACAGTTACAACACACTAACTGCTGCACACAAACTCTGAAACAAGAGTGCCCAGCCTCATGCTAAGAATGTCTGCACAAGGACTTGGGACAGAGCAGCTACTTCATTGGACACTGATTTCCCTGTATAGACCCTTCAAGAGCCTGGCATGAGCTGAAGCAGGAGAGGAGTCACTCTGACTTGCCATGCGGACAACCACAACCAAGACACAGGATTTAGTATTAAAGATCCATAGTTTGTACCTGACCAATAATGTGTAAGATCCCTTCTCAAGGATGCGTTGTAAGACCCCAAAGCAGTTTGCTTCATTTAATTGCAGACACATTTACTTATCTAGGGACCACAGCAGGGGCCAGAGTATCAGGATTCCTGGGTTCTTTCCCTGGCTCTAGCAGTGACTTGCTGTGTGATTTCAGCTCTACTTCAAAATGAAGATCTCAGCATCATCTGCTTCCTGGTATAGGGAGGTTTTTGAAGTACTCCCAATTGCCAGTGAAAGGGGTATGGGAAGTTCAATGGATTATTGTTGTTGTAGTTATCCTAACTCACTGACTCCATTATTACAGGTCTGGGTGGAGTTAGCATAACTTTGTTCTAAATATAAGAGATACTTTGCCCCTGTATCTCATACTGATGGTGTGTGGTTTGTCTAGCAAACTTCTAAATCCAGGACACAGGGCCTCCAATGTGGCTTGGCTTTCACCAGGGCCTTCTCATTACTCTAGATTGCCTCCTTGCTCTCATAAGCAGCTCACTGTTCAGTCTCTGCAGTAGAGTCACTGATGGCATAACTTGTGCATTTGATTCGGAGGCTCCCACGTCAGGAGTATTAATTCCTAGTCATCTGGCCATGTGCCCTGCCAGCAGTGCCCACACCTGCCAGGATTGCACAGAGTTTGGAAACCAAACGCTTTATTTCTGACTAATTTTCCTCATGCTCATTACACGGCACAGCTTGGATTCGATGCCTTCTCTTTGCTTTCTTGCAAAGGGTGACAGACTGTTCTTTATTTAGTGCGGGCTGGGGCCTTCCAAGAAAAAATGGAATTTGCCATCATGGCAATGGCAAAGCAGCTGGTGTTAGCCTGGGCTTCCTCCATCTGCCGGTTGTAGCCACTCATTGCAGCACATTTTATACTCAAGCTTGGAAACACTTTGGGCCTAGCACGTTCTTTTATAATGTTTGTGGACAGAACCTAGCTCAATAAATACATAATTAACCATATAAATAACAGGTGGTAATAAGCAAAGAATGCGATATCAGATGCTGGGGGAGGTCTTTTCTTGTTTGATTGCTTGGGTTTTTATTTGTTTTCATTTGGGCAAGAATGTAAATGACATGGTACTGTGATGAAGCTGTGAGCCACGGAAAATGTTATACATAGTACTAACAACCAGGTGAAGACTGGATTAGTTCAGCGTTCTGGCTGGTCTGGGCTTGCCTGATCAAATAAATTACATTGTACATTTTCTAACACAAAGCCTGTTTACAATGAGCTCTGTGAAATTGCAGTATAAAGGAAACAAAAGTGGAAAAATGAGAGAACGGGGAAATGCACTTAGGAATAGCCAATAGGAAATGTCCAGCCTTAGTAAAAGGCATAAGTGAGCACATAGAGGGAAAGAGAAAGGGACAAGCAAGATTCATAGATTGCTGGAAGGGGCTGGAAGGGACCTTGCAAGATCATCTGGTCCAGTCCCCCTGCACTAGGCAAGAAAGATGACTGTCAAGTGACCCCAGCAAAGTGACTGTCTAGTCTCCTCTTGAAGATTTCCAGGGTAGATGATTGCACCAGATCTGGAAGGAGTTTATTCCACAGTCTGGACACTCAACTGTGAAGAAGTTTATCCTAGTGTTAAGCCTGAAATGGTCTTCAAGGAGTTTGTGACCATTGCTCCTAGTTTTCCCCAAGGGTCCCCTCTCAGCCTTCTTTTTAGGTTGAAGAGACCCAAGTCCCTCAGCCTTTCCTTGTATGTCCTGCCTTGCAAATGTCTGATCATACAGGTAGCTCTTCTCTGGATTCTCTCAAGCTTTTCCACATCCCTGTTGAAGTGCGGCCCCCAGAACCGGACACATACTCCAACTGCCGTCTCACCAATGCTGAATAAAGCAGAAGAATCACTTCCTTGGTTTTGGTTGAGATGCATTGGTTGATGCTAGAGGTGTTAGAAATGGGCCCTAATTTTTTTGGATTTGGATTCAGCCCGAATTGGGGACAGTGATTTGTTGATTCGGATCACTGTCCTTGATTCAAATTGGCCAAATCCAAATCTGAAGATTCAATGCTGATTTGGAGAATCAGCAATTCGGACATAGACACAGCTTTAAAAGTTTTTTCTACTTTGAGGTAGCAGGCATGGCTCGTGATCGCTGCAATGCTGGGGTGGATGGAGCATCCCACAGGAGCGTTTGGGTAGGGGGGGGAAGCCTGCATGCTTGGCGGCAAAGCCGGAAGTGGACTGGAAGTAGTTCTGGTCCACTTCTCGGTCCACTAGGGAGCATGCTGCACCCCCACACATGCTCCCTGACTTGGCAATTGGCCGCAGGGGGACCCGGGGTGCCCCCCCTCCCCAGATCCAGGAGGCACCAGCTGCCGAGCCAGGAGCATGTTCCCCGGCAGACCTAGAAATGGACTGGAAGTGCTTCTGGTCCACTTCTGGGTCTGCTGCCAAGCACGCTGGGGAGCCCTCCACACTCCTGTGGGACACTCCATGCGCCCCAGCATTACAGCACTCACGAGCCCCTGCTATCTAGAGATATGTAGAAAAAACATTTAAAGCTGTCTATGTCCCAATCTTTCTGAAGCTCTCCAAATTGATTTGGAGGTTTCCAATTTGATTTGGAGAGATTAAAGGGTCCTTGGTGTCATCCGTGTATTTGACTAGTGAGCTCTTCACCCCCACATCCAAATCACTGATAAAGATGTTGAAAAGCACTGGACCAAGCACAGCCCCCTGAGGGACACCACGGGCCACCTCTCACCAGGATGAAACAGATAATGTTCATTAGAGCTGTCTGGGTCCTACCCTGCAGCCAGCTTCCTACCCACCTGTCGAGCACTTAAACCAACAATCCTCCAATTTTCCCCATGAGAACATCATGGGATACCAGATCAAAGGCCTTTTGGAAGTCCAGTGTGACAGGTCACCTTCCCTAGCACCATCTTTTTCATCATCCGCCTCTCATCTGGGGCACCCTTGGGGCCTGTTTTGTAATTCTTCAGTCCTGCCCTAATCTCACCTGCCACGTCTTGCTGGAATATTATTTTTTTGAGCGGGAGACTGCCTATTCTTCTGGGTATGTTGGGGTCTCGCCTATTATGACTTAACCCTTGTGTCCTCTGGCTAGGCCTCCATGTTCAAACCCATTAAACAGGGTTGGACTCCGAGGCTCTAGCTTTTCCTGCTCCCTTATACAGCACGGCACTCCCTGGCCCCAAGGCACGGGAGCCAGACCCCCACAACCAGTGGGCCAAGGGCCCAAGACCTGGGCACAACCCGAACCCGCCCCAGTTGGTTCAAACAAAAAACCCCCAAAAGATAGACCACAACCACACTCCGGTGCACCAGGCCTCCCTGGCCTTTTTAAAATAGTCCTTCCAATACCGGGGTTCATGTCCCCAAAAGCTGCGCCCTTACTGGCACTGGTGTCTGCTCCAAAAAACTGCACCCTCACTGGCGCCGGTGTCTGTGCCCCCAAAGGCTGCGCCCTCACTGGCACTGCGGTCTGTGCCCCTCAAAACTGCACCCTCCTTGGCGCTGGGTTCTGTGCCCCCAAAACTGCGCCCTCCCTGGCACCGGGTACCCACTCTGAAGAGGGTCCTGAAAATGAGGCCTCCTCCGACCCCTAATAGCCTCTCCCAAACCACCGGTCTTGTTCAATAATAAAAAAAAGAAAAAATAATAACTGTCACCAACCAATATGATCAAGCAAAGCAGCAGGTCAGCTTACAATTCGCAGGGTTCGTACCTCAGCTGTCTTCTGTTGGCTACAGTCCTTGCTGTGGTGCGGCTGCCATCTTCCCGTGGCTTCCATAGTTCCCACCTTTGGACCGCTCACCCAGCTTCTCTATGGTGCTCTCAGAGGCACTCCTTCCCCTTCAGCTGCTGTCGCCCCTACTGCTGTTTCACCCAGGGTTTTTATAGTCCTGCCTCTTCCGGTCAGCTGACTAGCCATCACAGTTCAGCACTTAACCCCTTCCTCACCAGCCCTCCACGCCCAGAAGGTTCTGGCCCTATAGGGGCGCACCTTTTTCCTCGTGACAGTGTTTGGGTTCCCTTTCGCATCCAGGTATACAATGTCTACCTCCTCTCTCTTATCCAGGTGGTAAGTTACCTGGTTGTAGAAGGAGATGAGATTGGTAAAACAAGACCTGCCCGCAATGAAGCCACGCTGACGTCATTATGAATCCTACCTTTTGTGCGCGTATCACACATAGACTCCTTGATGAATTTTTCCAGGATTTTCCCTGGAATAAAAGTTAGGCTAATTGGCCTATAGTTGCCCGGGTCCTCTCTCCTTCCCTTCTTGAAGACGAGCACAACATTGGCCCCATTCCAGTCTTCAGGGACCTCCCCCAATCACCACAAGTTTTGGAAGAGTTTTGCCAGAGGTCCCGTGATGACTTCAGCCAGCACCTTCAGCACTCCTGGATAAAGTTCATCTGGTCCTGCTGACTTATAAATGTCTAACTTTTCTAACTGATCATGCACCAGTTCAACATCAACAGTAGGAAGGTGGTCATTCCCACCATGTCCATTCTGAACCATACCTAGTATGCTTTTCCCCTTAGCCAGTGAAATACTGAAGCAAAGTAATCATTCAGGAGTTCAGCTTACTTGTGTGCCGGCCTCCAGGCATGTTTCAGTCAGTGTTTCCCTGTCCCCTAGCAATCTTAGTTTAAGGCCCTATCTAAAAGATGGGCCATCCTGGCTGAAAACAGGGACTTACCCCTCTGCATTAGGTGGATGCCATCCCTTCCCAGGAGTCGTCTCTCCCTGAAATTGCACTGTGGTCAAAGAAATTGAAGCCCTCTTGGTAGCACAACTGCCAGAGTCATCGGTTCACTTCTTTGACACATCCTTCCCTCCTAGGTCTGTGGCCTGCAACCAGGAGCACAGAGGAAAAGATGATGAAATCAGATGGGATAGAAATGTTTTTAAATGACTAAGGCATATACTTCACTGTGACAGCATGCATCAAGCTTATGTTAAACATTATAACATAGTTACATTATAACACATTAGCCATTCAACATTGAATCCTTGGGGCTTAATTCTCCATTATCATATGTTGTTCACAGGGCTAAGTAAGGGTAAAAACACTGTCAGTACAAGAACTGTGCATTTATCTTTCATGGATGTAAATGAATATTTGTGATGTAGAGCAATGAAAAATCAGCCTGCTGATCTTTATCATTTATGCGCAATTGGGAGTACTTCAAAAACCTCCCTACACCAGGAAGCAGATGATGCTGAGATCTTCATTTTGAAGTAGAGCTGAAGCCACACAGCAAGTCACTGCTAGAGCCAGGGAAAGAACCCAGGAATCCTGATACTCTGGCCCCTGCTGTGGTCCCTAGATAAGTAAATGTGTCTGCAATTAAATGAAGCAAACTGCTTTGGGGTCTTACAACGCATCCTTGAGAAGGGATCTTACACATTATTGGTCAGGTACAAACTATGGATCTTTAATACTAAATCCTGTGTCTTGGTTGTGGTTGTCCGCATGGCAAGTCAGAGTGACTCCTCTCCTGCTTCAGCTCATGCCAGGCTCTTGAAGGGTCTATACAGGGAAATCAGTGTCCAATGAAGTAGCTGCTCTGTCCCAAGTCCTTGTGCAGACATTCTTAGCATGAGGCTGGGTACTCTTGTTTCAGAGTTTGTGTGCAGCAGTTAGTGTGTTGTAACTGTGCACCCTAATTTACTGCACTCCAGCTTTCCCACATGGACAAGCTGAGATACCTGTGACCTCAGGTCTGCATCCCCTGATAGTGACCTCCTGTGAGTCCTGCATCCCCTGATAGTGAAGCTGAGTATGTTTATGGTGTTATTTCACTGCCTAGCCTATTACAACTGCAGAAGAAAGGATTACCTGCAGCAGCCCTAAGCCTGTGGTGATTATATTTTAGCATTAGTAGCTATCTTAAAAAAATTCTGTAGTGTGGATGGCAAACCTTCATCATAGATTCTCTGTCAGGAATCAGATGGGGACTTAGGAGCACCTCCTCTCAGATGCAAGTTAGCTCTGGGTGTGCAGATTCGGCCCTTGATTGAGGTTCTGGAGATCTCATGAAGATATTTGTATCTGGAATATTATGTACGTTATGTATTTCTCCTGCAGCCTGTAATGTTGTGATAAAGAAAAGTAAGGATAAAAAAACTGAATGTGTTTGGGTTATTGGTGGAAGGCCTGGTCTCCCTATGGAGCTAGCTTCCAAGTCTAAGGTAATGGGAGCCCAGTATTCAAAATCTACAGAATATAACCAGTAGTATTGGTCTGAATGAGGGTTAGCCAAGATGCTACCTATTCATCAGCACAGCATGTGCTCTTTCAGCAAGGGAAGGCTGCAGTGTAGGACCCAAATGTTTTAACAGTAATAAAATCTGCCCTATGGGAAGTTTGAATGATTTTTCTAAAAGCCAAATACTTCCATTTTCATTTGAAAATGCACAGCAGGAAGAGCTGGTAGCACTATAAATCTCCAGGGGCCCTGTGTGTGGTGAGAGATACTGATGGCAGGAGAACTGCATTTCCCTAGTGTTAGCTGTCTGGCTGGCATCAGACTCTGTGTTTTTATAGAGTCTTTGGGCCAGATCTGGAGCTGGCATAAACTAGCATAGGTCCATTGAGAACAGAAGGACAAGGATGCTTTCCACTGCTGAGGATCCAACCCACTGACCAGTTCAGAATGTATGGAAGGAAAAAGGACAATGGGGGATTTTAGAGCTTTTCATCTTTGCTTTCACTCAAAACCTCAGCTTTTGGAGGTCCTACCAAACTGCAGAAGAATTTCTCATGGTCTTGCAGACAAAACTCTGAGGTATTTAAATGGGGTGGCTTCTGGGGTCTAAGAGAAATTTGGTAGCCTGGCACACTGGAGTATGACCCCATCTCCCTAATTCCTATCTTGGAAGCAGGAAAGATAGCAGTCTGACCTCTAAGTCATTGTTTGTTAGACACTTCAGATGTCTTTACACATGCTTGGGGGTGGAGGGAGAGGGGGAGTGCTTTAATTAGAGCAGCTCTCCGGAGTGTCCCATTCAATGAGCCTCCATTTTGAAGCACAGGGATGCTGAATACACATGATACCAAGGCTGCTGGAGCACACTAATTAGCACACTCCAGCAGACTTGATATATTGAGTCTGCTCGGACGCATTCTAATTAGAGAATGTCAGAGCAAGCATCAGACGTATGTATTCCTGGTCCTCTCTAACTTCTACAGAAAACCATCTCTATATCCACTCCATAGTAGCTATATACCTCCAAGCCTAGGTAGAGTAGAAAAGAATTGTCCCCCAGAGGAACAAGGAGGGCAGACAGCCTGGGGCCATATACATTATGTATAGGGTTGCCTGCAGCCTAGAGAGCTCAGTTCATGTATTTCTCATCTTTTTGTATTCATGCGCTGAGCACACAAGTGTTGAAATTTCTAGGGATTACATTTCTCCTTCATTTACACACACACTATTTGTAATTATTATTATTATACTGATTATATTTTAATGTGTATGAAGAAAGAATATTCTCATCATTTGTGGTGCCCCCTGAGCTTGGGGGCCTGGTATAACTATATCCCTATTCTCCCTCTCTCATAGACCCTGGCTGCTTTAACAAAGAGGTCGTTCTACGCAGCCTGTGCTCCCGCCCTGCAGTGGGGAATTCCACCGGACACTAACATGCCCTGAAGCAGCTCTAGATCTACTGTCCCTAAAATACTCATGTAGGCAGGGTTGACATGTATAGGGTGCACGTGCACCTCCTGAGCGTGGCAGTGCACCCCCCTACAAAAAGGCGCCACCAACACTGTCAGCGGCACCTGTGGGCGGTTGCCGCTCACCACCCCACCGCCGACACTGCCGGTGGCGTCTGCAGGTGGTCCGCGATCCCTGCTGGCCACCATTGACGCTGCAGATGACAGCTGCGGGCAGTCACCGACCCTTGGTTGGCGCTGGTCTCCCTCCTCCCCCCGCTGCCGACAGCACTGACAGCGTCTGTGGGAGCTCCCTGCTTACTGCCGCCGTGCTCCCACCCCTGCTGCCACCATGCCCCACCAGCCACTGGGGGCACAAGTCATTCATGCATGTAGGACACCAAGAACAAGAACAGACAAGTTTTGGTGTAAGACCCCCTGGCCAGTTTTTTTATGGCCAAAATTCAATGAGCGGTGATGCATGCTTTTTTCATCAGTTTTCCCATCTTTAACACAACCTCTGGCTAATAGGGAGACTCTGTATGTGATGTTTAGTGTCAGAATCAGTAGATAGAAATAAAAGTTTTGGTAGAAGAGGTTCTAGACAAGATATGAAGCACAAACTTGGTCCTTACACTGTAATGATCTTTATGGGTTTGGGAGACAACAATAACCACTGAATGAGAAGGAAACAAAGCTTTTTTATTAAGAGCCAATAGAATATTTAGCTTCAACTGGAATATTTAGCTTTTTTCCTTTGTGCTGGGTATATCTTCTAGTTCCCACAATCACAACACTAACTGTTAGGAATCATCTCTAAATTCTAATCTTCCACTTGCATATCACACATGCTAAAAAAACAGTGTTGGGGCTGGAACTAGAGGAACAGGGGAGCTATTGGTCAATATGACAATGCATTGTCAGTGCTCTGTTGCCCTGATTTTAACTAGTGCTGCTCCTTATCCTGTTTCATTAGCCCAACCTCCACACAGACTATAATGGAAATAGCTTTTGGTCCAATTGTGGATGACATTCCAGTGTCTGCCAAAAAGGTCCTGCCCTGGCCTGTCCTATCATGCTCTGCAGGTTTGGTGCTGAGTGTACTTCCACTACCCTACTGGTTCTGCAGTACCCTCACATTTCCAGTTCTGGGAAAAGAGATACCTTGAAACCTCCCCTCCCAATCCTGCAGGTCTTGGCCACAGGAACAAACACTCTTTGTGATTTCACTTAAGCTAAAACTAATGATGGATTTGAACATTCAGCCCATTTGCCATGTAAGATCAGAGTAGCTAAAGTTGCAAATAACCTTACTTGATCACTGAGTCCATCTTTCTGCCAAGACAGGATGTAGTACCCTGATAGTGGATATATATTAGTGTCTTTCTATTCAGAGGCCATTAAATAAATATTTCATGAGACCCTAAACTATTATAAATGTTGCTGAGCTCATTCCCTTCTCTGGGCACTGGTTTATCTCACAAGCTTGATAAAGTGACTAAGCTAAAATTGTTGTTAAGTGTGACTGAATTGTGGGCAAGGTGGAAGACGCAAGAGAAAAGGAATGATAAATGTTCCCACCAAGGGAAACTTTAACAAATGGCTTTTTCCTGCTAGACTCATTATTCCTCTGCTTGTTCATTCTCAGGTTATCCTGAGCCCAAGTGACAATACTTACCACTTCTGTTCTGTTAGGAAAGGGAGAAAAACAGAGGCTCTTTATATAGGGCTTCTCAGAAGCCTCTTGACCCCCCATATCTATTTCCAGCTCACTTACTGGGCAGCCATCTCCTCCTCCAGAAGTGGAACCTAGTGAGATATATATATATATATATATATAAAAGAAAAAGCAATCCATTTTTGTATAAATGTAGGCACCTTATCTTTATTATGTAATGTACATGCTTTATGACTCATGGGTCTTTTACAGTTTATGCATTTTTGTTTAGCTTTATGATGTTCTAGTTTTTATCTAGATTGAAAATATAGTTTAAAAATCCTGTTGTCATCCAAATAGTTCTTTAGTCATTATGAAAATGATAGTGGAGGAAAGCAAACTCTTTTTTGTAGAGAGCAACCAGAAGTTTTAATCAAACTTTCCATACAGTGTTAGGTCAGTTGTTCTTCAAAGACTCCTATTACAATGGATGTTGACTGATAGGGTCAACACTCCACTTACCATTAATTTATTGCCCAACACACTTGCTTTTATTATTGTGGTCAGAAAGAATGCCTGCCCCAAAATTAATTCCACACTTGCAGTTCTTGTGATTGGTGTTTTCCAGGGCTTCCCCTCCCCTACACCCCAGTGTGTCACTCACCCAATGTATTGAACCATTATGGATCTCACTATTTATCATCTCAGCCTTCTTTTCTCGCTTGACCCAAGGGTTTCCCTGAACTATCATAGTCAGGTTTGATCCCGCAAATATATACACTCAGTCAAAACTGAAATGAATGACTCTGGCCGCTTTTGGACCACCTCAGTGACTGCCTCCTCCCAATTCAGGTTCAAGCAACATCAGAAGGTTCCGGTCACCTTCTTGATAATCCTCGTCCACACGGTCTATTCTTCTTATAATACACCTGAATCCCACTCAACAGAACCTGTCTTTTGATAAATTAATCCCTTCTCCGTTTACCTAAACTCAAGGGTTTCAGGGTTCTTTTAACATAATCCATATCCTTAGCTGTGACAGCTGAAAATTATGTCTGTGTGGTAAAGGTGCTTGCTGAAGGCTCTAGGAAGATTAGACCAAGTGTTTTTCTGTCATTTGTTCAGATATTAAGCTATATGTTGTTGCTAAGAGCCTAATTAAAGTCTAAAATGTAGTAAGGCCTTGTATGTAGTATAAGTTCTAGTAAATTTAGCAAAGCCTTATAGAAGTGATGGTAGGCCCTGTGGCATAGTTAAAATTAACCTTATCAGGAGAATGCAAGGCTTCTACTGCTATTGGTCAGTCTAAGGACAGTTGAAGTAAAAATTCTGAATGGCTGTAAGTTATCAGCATAGCTCAAAAGTTATAAATTGGCTGGCACATCTGGAAATCATTTAGAAGGAAGATATAGCTCTGTGAAAGGAACTACAAATTAGCTGTTGGCCAAGATTCAGTGGGCCCATGGATCTCAAGGAGCGCAAGGGCTGAATACCAGGGTCTTTCCCAGTACTCCTCGGACAGCGCTGATCGGGGATGCCTGACTTCAGTGAGTTTTGTGGAAAAAGAAACTTGTCATACATCAGGCATCAGAGTGGACTGCCAATAAGTTGCTGATGCAAATTATTATTGTCTGTTATTATCTGTCTTAGTATACTATGCGTAGTCATATTTTTGTTAAGTCAATAAACCTTTCTTACCTTTCTATCCACCGACCACACTCTCAATCCTGACCCCTCTGCTGGCGGCTAGGACACTTAGCCAGCACATGTCTCTCAGAATCCTCTGAACACAACCCATGCTCCAAGTAATTAATTAATTCATTGTCTACTCCCATTGTAAAATAAGAGTTCTCCCCAGCACAGTTCATGTCTTGGTCGAGGGACTACTTTCCCCACTCTAGCTGCTTAATAACTTTCCAAGCTGTACCCAACAGTCTGTAATTGGCTCAACCAGTCCGCCTTTGGCAGGACTCACTTGGCTTCAATTAAGGACCCTAAGTAGAGTCAGGCTGTATACTGGCCCTCACCCAATTCCAGTACTTACTTCTTTCTTCTTTTCCCTTCCCCTCAAAGGGCCCCCATGTTCCCCAGTGCAGGTGTTGGTCAGCCATCCTTCTCCTAGTGCCAGGCAAAGTCCTTATTGGTGCAGTACTCCAGCAGAGCAGTGGACACAGGCTGCATCTCCTACATCCCTCAGGAGCTGGGATTTATGGCTTGTAATATTATCGGGTCATCTACACCTTCGTGCAGACCCCAAGTAAGTACACTGGATTTGCCCTTTCCCAGGGGTTGCCTGAATCCTATGGTGGAGGGGTTGGTACTCCCCAACCCCCTCTGACTGCAGGACTACTTCCCTACCAGTCTGTAACAGTGATCCTACACAGCAGCAGCCTCAGTATTCGCCTCCTCACTGCTCAGGTGGGTGAAGTACTTCAGGCTCATAGGTGATGGTCAACCCATGCTTCCACATGGGTACAAGGTAATCCTCCCTGTTTTGCCCCTTTCTAGGGGGAAACCCCCCATGACACCTTCCACAGTCACTCTTTTAAAACTAACCAGAACTCCTGGGGTCTCCTGGGAGCTTGCCTTCCCCCAGCTGGGCTCTAATGCATGCAATTTAACTGTTTTGTGTCTGGCACAGT